CCCGCCACCAAGAGTAATGGGCGTGGGGTGAAATACCTCGAGCGATCGGCGTCGTCATCCTGGCCAGGCTCTGTAATGATGAGACATGGGATGCATCCTCTGATAAGTTCGCTATTTTGGTCCGTTTTAGGTGGCCCTACGGCGGTCGGATATGGATGACTGCCTCGGTGCGGATATTGCATGGCCTTGTGACAAGCTTCTCCTCCATGCTGTCTGCCACGTCTTGCAGCACCGCTGGAATCCTTTGGTTTCTCTTACCCTTTGCATTGCTCTACTGCACGTCCGAGTGGTCGCCGAGCTCGACGGCTGGACCGACTGGGACCACGAAGGTTAAGACGGGGTGGCCGGGGATGCTGAGCGGAATCAGATGATGCGAATAGGCCGGCCACGATTCCCCCACCCCCACACTAACACCCCCGAACGGTATCCATCAACGCTCTTTCGAGCCCGCCAACCCTTCGCATGGTGCCAGCTGTGGCGAGAATTACCCTATCAGCTTGCAGCCAGGATTCCAAAAGATCGTCACAAGGCGTTCCCCCCTTGCACTTCACGTCCGGCCAAGATCCGATGTTCACAGCCTCTCACCCCCTGCTCGCTTGATGCAACGTGAGCAAAAAAGCAAACGCCGCTTCAATCAGCAATCCTCGCAGCGTTTATTGGCCACGCGCAACCCCTACAGCTAAGCGCGAACAGCTGTACCTGGTATCGGCTACGTGCAGAGCAGCACCTCGAGCAGGCTGCGGGAGTCACCGCCCCTTTGGTCGTCACCAAAGATGCCTGCCCAGTGCCCATCCCTCACTGATGCACTTCACGCACCTTGCTTTGCCTGCCGTCACTAGCACTCCTGACAACGCCGTCAGCTGGACCCCCACACTCCCCATTGCAAGGTCAAGTGTCCGGCGTTTGAAAATATTTAAGTACCTGTACTATCCTCGGGGTGTTACCAAACATCGATCAACCATTGACGTATTCGTTCCGTTCGTCGTTGCTGCGTTCCGCTTATTCTTTGTCAAAAGTCCCGCTTCTCTCTGCAAGCTTTTGTTAGTATAAAAGTCTACTAGACGTCCACATCCGAACTCTTCTTATCATGTCACCGCACACCGACGCACCTTCTCCCGCAAATAGCTTCGTTCAAGATTCCGGCTTCCACCATCCTGTCCAATCCGTCTACACCATGAACCGATACACCGACTTCGACACCAGCTCAATGGAGTCTACTGATGTTGGCATCCGGCGGTCATTGGTTCCTGGCATCTACGTTCCTACTGTAGCGTTCTTCGAACCAACTTCAGATAACGTTGACGTTGAAACTACCGCCAGCCATGCCGTTCGTCTAGCCAAAGCTGGTGTTGCCGGTATCACCACTCAAGGGTCCAATGGCGAGGCTGTCCATCTCTCCCACAAGGAACGCGACCTCATTACAAACACCACCCGCAAAGCTCTCGATGACGCAGGTTTTGGTTACATGCCTGTAATCGTCGGATGCGGTGCTCAGTCGACCCGGGAATGTATCGAGCTTTGCGAAGAGGCAGCCTCCGCTGGCGGAGACTATGCCTTGGTGCTTCCACCAGCATACTACCAGGGCTTGTTCTCGAAGGAGACCGTAAAGGAATTCTTCCAGGATGTAGCCACTGCTTCGCCCATCCCCATCCTCATCTACAACTACCCCGGTGCTGTTTCTGGACTGGATCTCAACTCAGATATCATCATCGAGCTGGCTCAACATCCCAACATTGTCGGTTGCAAGTTGACTTGTGGCAACACAGGAAAGCTGAACCGCATCGCCGCGGCGACCCGAGCAGCCACTGTCTCTGATCCTGGATCGGGCTTCATGTGCATGGGCGGATCTGTCGACTTCACACTGCAGACTCTGGTCGGAGGTGGCTCCGGTATTATTGGCGGCATGGCCAACATCGCACCCAAGACATGCGTCAAGCTCGTTGAGCTATTTGATGCTGGCAAGCTCGCAGAAGCCCGCAAGCTCCAGGCTATAGTAGCCAGAGGCGACTGGGCTGCCATTCAGGGTGGTATCATCGGAACAAAGGCCGGACTGATGGCTCACTTCGGATACGGAGGATACGCTCGCAAGCCCCTCCCCAGGCCTGGCAAGGACGAAGTCCGCAGGTGGCGTGATGCATTTGACGAGCTCGTCAAGACTGAGAACTCTCTCTGATTTACGCACGCAAAGACGATGTCTATCTCTGTCCATCGAAAGAGGTCATCACAATTGCTTCCGAGCATCTTCTCGCATTGCTCTTGGCGTTGAGCGTACTTTCGCATATTTCTAGCGGCGTTATCTCAATTTGACCGTTGCTTCGTTCACAGTCAGTATGGTGGGCGTTATCTGTCGTTACGAGGCTGCAAAAAGCAATTGTACCCCCTGCCAACGTCGTTACCAGCAGTGGCTGTATAGCGCTTCGAGCCTTCTGGTGGCTTTTTCTCAATTTCTGTAAGCGTACGTTTAGCTTCGCATAGCAGTCAGTGGGCGGATATCTGATTCAAATTGTATTTCCAGTCTGTTCGGACCTGTCAGTGTTGTAGCAATGTTGAATTCAATACTTTCGAAAATTGTCCTCCATGGTAATCACGCGACAATGCAGTGCTCGTCCGTGCTGTTATCCTGACCTGCGCACTCCTCCGAACTCTCTCTGCACATCCAATAGCAACACAGGTCGCAGCGAGGGCTCGGTCTTGATGTTTGCCATGATTGGATTAGCGTGTTTGCATGGCCCTTAAGCCACTGACCGGTGTAGCACATGGAACGGCTGGTAGAAGCCCCCACGAAAGAGGGCACACAAACTTTCCGGTACATATTCTCAGCCACATCCGACGAGCCGGGGAGTGTCGCAGACTTATGAACTCCCTTGCTCAATAGGAATGTATCCCGCCCCTGTGGTTCGTCCGATTTCTGCGACTTTTAGGAAGTATCAGTGCCGACTTCCGCCGTGGAACGACGCTTCACTAGACGGAGACCATGAAGGGTCATGGGGTTGTATTTCGAAAACATTGAAGTGCGTAAATGGCCAGTCGTGTGAAGGCTCACACATAAGCCCGCTCTGTGAATGGCTCTGCCCTACATCGCCAGCAACATACTCAATGGCAAAGGCAGCCACTCATAGCAGCGAGGTTGTCGAGTGAAGGCCTGCAGTAAGCCGTGTAAGCCAATTGGTGTCTTTGCATCGTGCCCTATCCGCGTGGCGTTCGTGTTGCTTCTGCCGGCAAGTAGCGAATACATGCGCAGACAACGGTGTCGCCGTGCTCCGTCTCCGTCTGCCACTGGATTGAGCAGCTGACAGCACTATCGCTACCCATGGACCGTGATAGGAAGCTTGCTGAAACTTGCACGTCTGACAACATGGTCCGGTGAGCAAGCCTTGCTAATCAGCAGTCTCGCGTGGTCACCGCTACTTTGCCTTCATCCCACGCTCAAGCGCACAAGCGTTCCAGCTTGATGGTAGGGCAACATGGCACGTCCCGTCTTACACACAGCTGACGGGACAGTATCTTGTGTAACATCCCACGGCTTTGAATGCATGCAGAAACCGGTGCTCTGTGTAAACGAGGCATCTGATGCGATGCGCGTGTGCAGTGAGGCGAGCCAAGGCTGACGCAGGATATCACAGAGACTGGGGTAGGTGCGCCGTGGCGCTTGCTTGATGAAGTGGTCGTGTGCGACGGCGATATGAGAGCTGAAAGAAGTCGCGTAGATCAGGTGATAACAATTTCAGGGAGCGGAGGAACCTTGAAGGACTTGATGTCAACTGGTCCAGGGCTGCGTGTTTTGCGTCCTTTCCTGATTAGGAATGGTCTGAGCAGGTCAGCACCAGACGCGTGCGCGGCAGCGACGTTCAGCAGTCATGACCCTTGCGTGACGTCTCTTCATGAGAGAGAATCAAGCAATATATGAGCTTGTGTTTCACACAGGACTAAAAGTGTAGACGTTCGCTTGAAAAGGTGATGGACAGCCTGTCCGCACGTTGCTGGTACCATCGCGAAGACCGATGAACTTACCTTCCATTTGCCACGATGTTAGGTGTTGGGGAGTTGGATGCTCTTTCACGGTAATTCTTGGGCGACCTTTCTCCATAGTGTGGGTCATCTCAAGTTCCCTCCTTCCAATAAGAGTGGAGTCATTATATTCGCAGCGCGCACGCAAGCGCGCTTCTACACCTCTACTCTCGGGCACATCTTTGCGTAGCTCTATCGCAACCACAAACATCAATTGCATTTTTGCCAAAGCAATCCAAGACCACTATACAAGCATCCATTATCCGGCGGATGTCCTCTCGGTAACACGAGCTGCTTCCGCCGCATGGACTATTACCAATGCCCAACAGAAAACCTTCTCGCAGAAGCACAGCGCCGCGGTTTCCCAAGACTTTGGAGCTCTCGGGACCAGCTCAGCGAGGTCCTCATGCAAGATGACGAGGCAAAAGGATCGGATGCGACGACCGTTTCTACCACGGACTATGGCGCTTTCATACCACGGACTGTCAGTCTGGAACACACATCGGCATTGGACAGAACCGATTTAGCTAGTCAATTGATCAACGAGAGCGCGTCTACCAAATGCGTAGTGCGAGAGGATGGCAGAGCTGACTATTCCCAGAGATTATTTACTGGACGTTGAACACGTTCTTTCCAGCAATACAGCTCTTCTTCGAGTCGGGCTCGTCGTGTACCATCGACTGCGGGAGGTTCCCGGACGCAATCGTTGGGCTGGATCCCGCACTCCGATTCAGATTGACGGATTGTGCATACGAAGAAGAAGGTCGCGTGGTTAACAGCATACTGCCTCGACGTTTTGTACATTCCGGTACCGGTCTCGTCATACAAGAAGCAGTAATCGCCCATCGCACGAGTATTGCAATCCGGAATTTTCGGGATCCACAGAAAGCCCAGCTATGGCGACCAGGCATTGTCGTCCAGCCCAAGATTACAAAAGAGCTGCACACAGTCGTTGGGCTCAGGCTGAGGGGAATGGACAAAACAGCGTACATATGGGCGAAGACTGCGGTGCCTACCGGAGGAAGGGTGTGGGGAAACGTGAGGTCATCTGGCCTGCAAGACGATTTGCCTGTCCCCATACTCCCTTCTGTAGAGGAGGAGCCCGGCGCTCAAACAGTCGTGGTTATTAAGGACAGCCTGATCGAGCGCAATCGCCAGGGCAATAGGGAGATGGGGACCTTCGAGGCCATTACACCCGAAGACTCTTCGTAATTGTACCGGAGTTATACGTTACGACACAGCTGGCGGTGGACGCGACGATGTCGAATTAAGTGTCTGGTAGTAGATTAGCTTGGCAAGTAGCCATCTATCTTCAAGGTCCCTTCCGATGCATGTGAGGATATCCACTCGGGAAGATCCGGCCAAACCCTTGTAACGTGTGTCTGGAGCTGTCTCGTGGTCGAAAGATAGCAGCATGCTGACAAAAGTCGACGTTATATATCCTAAGCCCGATCGGACTGGTATTGCGAGTAATCTCGGGCGAGTGTGCAAAACAGCAGGACCGAAGCGGATGTAAGGATCTTGAAGTGGGGTACTGAGTCGATCCCAGGCGCGGGCGCAGCTATAAAGACACTAATTCCCACGTCAGTGCTGTTCAGCACCGCGCATCGCATCTACAACAGTCAGTACATCTTGCAAGTTGCTGTTGGTTTTTACTCACAGCGTACAGAACTCTCCGATACCATCCACCTATACATCATCATGTCTGGCGCCACCGCTATCGTTCTCTACCCTCGCAAGGAGGGCTCCACCTTTAACAAGGAGTACTACCTCAAGACACACATGCCGCTCGCCATGAAGAACTGGAAAGACCACGGTCTCAAGTCCTACGCCGTCAGTGAGCTCAACGCCGATGGTCCATACGCCATCAGCACCGTCATGGAGTTTGACAGCCCGGAGAGTGTCGGAAAGGCCTTGCAGAGTGAGGGCACCAAGGAGGTCATGGAGGACGTAAAGAACTTCAGCAGCGAAACACCGATCCTCGTTCACGGCAATGTCGTCGGACGAAGTTAGGCTTGGAACCAAATGGAAACAAGGTTGGCCGAGGATCGTGAGCGATGGATACTATGACGAGGCTCATGCAGGGTGTGGTGTGGAGACGGAGGTAGGATGGGGTTAGCGGCGTGAAAGCTGCATGGAGGGGTAGCTTCCTCTTTTGAGATGCCCCGCACTTTGTCCTTCCGAGGTATCCTGCATCAATCCAAGGTGACATACTCCATTTTGCAAACATCATCACGCATTCCAATCAATCGGACAATCAAAACATTAGACTCGTAGTGTAAACTCCAATGAACGTTTACCTATGTTTAAGAATAACTGTCTTCATGGCATAGTCTTCGATGCGCAGACCTGTACATCCAAACAGCCTGACCTCGTGTTATTGGCTGTGATAGCACGGCCAGAGTGTGCAGAGCTGAGCGCTTCAGCTTCGACGTCATGGGCTCAGCGACACAGCCTCTATCGCTCTACCAGGTATTCCGAAGCTTCAGGCAACCATTTATGTAACATGTCTGCAGCTGCCTCGCCGTCTCTTTCGTATACGAGAGCACGCTCACATCACAGATTCACGTCGTGTACCACGAAACGCTCATCAGCTTTACCCAGCGCATGCGAACCACGGACGATGGGCGACCTCTATGCGTCATGCCCCCTCGATCGGACGCGCAGAGAGATCAGACTGCTCACCCTCGAGCCCAACAATGACGAAGACATCACGAGATGCAGCCTCCAGACCTACAGCCCAGAAAACTGTCCATCGTATACTGCTCTGTCTTACACCTGGGGTGCCGATGTAATGCACACCAATATCGAGATCAATGGCGTCAGTGTCCCGATTCGCGAGAATCTATGGGACTTCGTACATCAGCAACTACTCCATGGAAATTACGGACCCTTCTGGATTGACGCAATCTGTATACAGCAGTCGGAGGTCGACGAGCGTAATCACCAAGTTCGATTGATGAGTTCCATATATTCAGAAGCTGGCAGAGTTTTGATCTGGCTCGGTAAAGAGGGCGATGATAGCGACATTGCCATGCAGATTTTGGACGGAGACCTGGTCGACTGGACTAAACAGCTGAATTTGGATACCGACGAGAGTGACGAGAGTGACGAGATTGACGACAGTGACGAGGACTGTAACTGGCCTAGTCCAACCCGGAGAGTACCTAAGTTCAAGAGGTTCTTAACCTCAACAGAGGAGCGCAGCATTACAGCACTATGTAACAGAAGATATTGGTCCCGAATGTGGATCATACAGGAAGTCATGCTTGCGGACTGCCTGGAGATACATTGTGGCTCAAAGATTGTCTCGTTATCTAGTCTTGTGCTATCGCTCGAGGACCTCGCAGGTGCGGTCAGACATTTGGAACTCATGGAACCTTCTTTTTCTCACGATAAGACTTACATGTCTCACCTTGACGAAATCCTCGCCAGTCCTGCTATGGACATCGCTATGATACGGGGTCAATCCACACCACGTGTGTCAGTCACTTTCTCGGATTTGTTGGAAGCATATGGCGACCATGAGTGTGGGGACATTCGAGATAAAGTCTACGCTCTTGTAGGGGTCGCAGAATATGGCCAGTCTATCAAAATCGACTATCGCAAGTCAGCAAAAGACGTTCTTATCGACCTCCTGTACCACGAAGGCAATCGAATTAAACACAGAAAAACTATTTCCAAGCATCAAAGTTGGGAGGGTGATAAGCTGTTTAAATTTGCGCAGCTATTGAGTAAAGTTTTGGACGTGCCTCTTTCTGAAACTGAGATGCAGTTCCACGTCGGCCAGATCGAGAGCAAAGCGTTGTTTCGGGACTGGAAAGAATGGGATTAATAGATGACTTGTTTTGAGATCTTCAACGCGGAAGGAAAGTCGACATATGAACATCCACACAACAAGTGATCAAGCAATCAAACACATTCTCAATCATCATAAACTCCATTAATATCTCCATGCTATACTGAGCGAGCCTGCAATCCAATCCGAAGCTCCCACTCTCAATGCTTAGTATTATGTACGAGAAGATGCAGACGTGAAATATATACAGTGAACATCGGCATCTCGTCTCATACTCTTCAATCCAATTGTAATCGATCCCGAATGACCTCAACACTCTCTAAACGAATAGCCCATCTATCTAACGGCGGTACTGACCCTGATGCTGTTGTTGCGCGTACTTGGCTGCCTGCTGCGCCTGGTCGAAGCTTGCGCCGTAAGCCTGCGTGGGCGGAGCCTGCTGCTGCTGTTGCTGCGCCATGTTGCCGTAGCCTTGCGGTGATGGCTGTGGGAAATACTGGCTCTGCGGTGTCTGCGCTGGGGAGACCCAACCTCCAGGGACGTTCATCTGTGGGGTTGGCGCCTGCTGGGGGAAGTACTGCTGCTGCTGTTGCTGATACATTGGGTGCATTTGGCTCGGTGTGGAGTACGCCATTCCGACGATGCCTGATGGTGTACCAGGCCCGGTAGGCATGCCCATAACACTCGGAGTACCCATCATGCTTGGCGCGCCCATTACACTCGGAGCACCCATGCCGGTTGGCGTGCCCATACCCATAACACTGGGAGTACCCATCATGCTCGGCGCATAGTTGCTCTGAGCCATCGCATATTGTTGCTGCATCTGCTGTTGCAGCATCATTTGCTGGCGTTGCTGGACCTCCATCATTTGGCGCTGTTGGGTCTGCAAGGTGCGTCGGTCGATCTCAGCTTGCATAGTCGGTGTGAAGCTCTGGCGATTGGCCTTGTGAGCCGCCTTCTCCTTCTCGCGATAATCGATATAACCTGTAAGACCTGTCGGAGGCTCCTTTTGCACTTTCTTGGTGTTCTGCGAAAGGTCCAGAAGAGGAGTGTTTGTCATGCGAGCCACCTGTTCCTGCTCGCGAGCTGATAAAGTAGTAGGTTGTTGATTAAGCAGTGTCTCAGCACCACGGCTTAGAGGGCGGCTGGGTGGGCGGGCAGGACCTGGAGAGCCCTGAGGCGACCGCTGAATATGACTCCAATCTCCAGAGTGCGTACGAGTCCAATCTCCAGAATGCGTGCGACCGAAAGGAGGTGGGGTGTGCGACTTGCTCCTGCCATGTCCATACATTATAGGCTGCTGCTGATGCGCCGCACGATGCATCACCCAGTCTTCAGGATCCAGCCTTGTCTTGTCCGGCTGCTGTGGTGAGGCTGCAGCCGGCTGCCATGCGACTTGTCGTGAATCCAAGATCTGCGGAGAGTTCGAACCACTACGCGCATGCATGGGTTGGTTAGGTGAACCTGCACCGGAGATATAAGACAGTCGGTGCTGTTCGTTCGGGGTCGTCGCAAGGTTCTCTTTGGATCGCGAGGCGCTGTTGTCGTGTAGCATCTGTGTCATGGTCCCACTAGTGCCCGGACGCTTGCCGTCAAAGTCCAACGCGTACGTCGGGCCAAAGTCAATACTAGGAACAGCTGCAGGCGCCTGTGCTGGGTCCAGAACAGACTTGTAGCCATGTGGATCTTCATCTGAGGGAAGCTTTACGTTTGGATCTCCAATCATGGTCAGAACACCGCTTCTTGGTCGATCGGTGCGTCGTTCAGGCAATCTTCGTGGAGGAGGCGCAGGTTCCTCTTCAGCGATGCTGGCATAGTCTGGCGTGGAAGTCGATATGGCATCATCGTCGTAGAAACTACTTGATCCGCTTGGCTGACGGTTCAGAGTGGGCTGTGTGATGTTGAAAGCGTCGAGAGCTTCAGGGTCGATTACGTCCTCTCGTAAACTGTCGAGTCTTGAGCTACTGGTCGAAAGGGTGTCATCCTCTTGCGAGGCTAGGGGAGACCGACCTGGTACTGGTTTACGGGGTATGCCGCCGCTTTCGGGGTGCGGACGATAAGGGAGCTCGTGACTGGGGGGCTGTGGCGGCAACTCACTATGTTCTGGGACCGATGGAGCTGTCGGCTGGTAGCCTGTGGGAGAGTCGACGAACTCGGAATGCTCGACGTATGGTGATGCGGGAATGGTAGACAGGCGGTTCCCAGAGTTTTGGTTCGTTGGAGGCGGCCTTGAGTTGACACCAAGATACATCGATTGCCCCTGATCACCGTACGCGTTGTAGTCACCACTGCGTCTGCTCTGTATGGTTTCCTGATTTCTCCAAGCTCCGACTGCGCCAGCGGCAGCTACGCCCCCTGGGAAGGATCCATGCGAAGCGTCAGCCATTTGCTGAAGCGTGGCAGAGTCGACTGCAGGGTTTGGTTTTGCCATGGGCATATTGGGACGAATGGGTGGCTTTTGATTGGCAGCGTGCTCCTGGGTAGGAGGAAGGTCGACATAACCTTGCGGTGGAGCAGACAGATCTGCAGGCGGCGGTGGTAGGTTCTGTGGCTCCTTGATGGGGCTCTCGTCGTAATCTGACGCAGACGAATCATAAGGCTGAACTGCCCCATTCGACGAACCGTTGAGTATACGATGCTGGGGAGGCGTCGGCGGACGCTCGTCTTCGTATGGTGTCTCATCTCGGGTGAATCTAGATGGAGTGTTCTCGTTGCGTCCGTTGACTTGCTCTGACACAGATCGCTGATGGCGTGGGGTACCGAATGGGTTTGCAGCGGGAGCTGTTCCAACACGACGCGGCGCTTGCACTTCAAAGTCTGGGAACTTACGTGTAGGAGATGACGCGCGTGTGGACGGGCTGGAGCGAATGGAGCCTTGGTCTTCAAATCGTAGGTTACGGGGTGTGAAGCCTGCCCGGCTGACGGTATTCCTGCGGCTGGCGCGACTGTAGATGGATTCAGCGTCCTGGTTCGCAGTCACCATTCTTGTAGACGTGAGGTCCTTCAATTGCTTCCTCCAGTGGCGCTCTGACCACTTGTCGCTGCCCTCAGTGTTGATCAAGCCCACCACGTCCCACATCTCCAAGTATCCGTAGCGCCTGTCGGAAGGCATAGCGAACATCAGACCGCGGGTGTCTAGAACGTCCGCAATCAACTTCTTTGGGCGTCCGTATAGTGAGAATGTATCGAACACGGGGAAAAGGTACTGGAGCAT